TATTTTGATATGAGAATCAAATTCAAATAAAGATTTATTTTCTTGCAAGTGGTAGTGTTTTCCCTTAGTATTTATTTTATAAAAGCAATAGAAAACATTTTTCTCTGTGTTTACATAGCCTGATAGCAACACTCGGAGGGTTGGGAGAATTCTCGACAGTTATGCAAACCCGAGACGTAGTCGAGGGTTTGCATAACTGTCTCGAATTCTCCCAACCTCCCCTCGTGTTGCTATCAGGCTATGTAAACACGGAAAAAGTTTTCTATTGCTTAAATGTGCGCTGGGCTTGACTTGTCCACATTGCAGTCCCATGATGCATAATTGTGACGTCATCCGTGGAAAACGCTATCAATCGATGTATTCACTTTTCCCGCTCTTTTCCATTGTTTGGTGGACAAGTTTTATTAGTCGGAAGTCAAAACTTTCCACTTACTTATATTGCCAATAGCAAACAAATATCCAACTGGATGAATTGGTTTAATGTTAAGCATCCCTGAATCAGATGTTTGATTATGGTGATATTGTTCGGGGAGATAAAGATAATATCACGCTTATGGAATCTCTTCAAACCCTGCACAACAAAGCGGCCAAGATCATCCTGGATCGTCCTCCATACTCCTCAGCGTCTGATGCTCGGAAAGAACTTAATTGGATGGAACTCAGTAAGCGCCGATACTACCATCGATGTTTACATATATTCAAATGTAAATACAGATTATTATCATCAAATCTAAAGCTGAATAAGCTCAATGAGCATGGCTACAAAACGAGGCATGGAAGCGAGTTTCGCTTACCACGACCCAAAACTAACTGGGGAAAACAAACAATGCAGTTTCAAGCCATGAAAGAATGGAACAATCCGAGTGACACTCTTAAACAGTGTTATAATATTGACCATTTTAAATCGAATTTCTTTTAAACCTTTAAACCTAAATAATCTGAACTTTTCATCTTTTACAATTTTACATAGTAGTAATAATGATGTTGACTTTTCAGTAACGAGCTGGTTTCGATATTCACCCTCCAAATTCTAAATTCTCTTTTTGCATATTATTGTAAAAATATCTTACTTATCAGGACCTTCTTGAAAATCACATTTATAAGTGAAGAAGCTTCCTGTTAAAATATGAATGTAAATAAATAATGTAATTTTGCTGGAACTACCTTTTTCTTACTAATTTTCCTCGAGTAGTACTTTCGCGAATTTCGCGATGTAAAAAAATATTTTTTGCAATCGCGAAGATTCGGCTCCCACAGTTTCGTATAAGGCCCCGTTTACACGAAGCCGGATATTTTTGTAAACGCGTATTTTTTTATCCATTTAGGCCTACCGTTTACACGGAGACAGTCTTTAGCCGGCTATCATTTTCAAAAATGCTTTTCAAATCGGATATTTTTGAAAACGCTGGCTATGCGTTTCCGTGTAAACACTCGAAGCCGGATATTTTCGTAAACGCTGACGTCACTAAACAAAGGAGATCGCAGACTCAAGAACTATGCGCATGCTCATTTAGCTCCTATGAGCGTTTTCGAATCGATGGAGCGTTTTCGTATAAACGGTCGAAAACGATGCGAAAACGATGAGCGTTTACACAAAGCCGCATGTAAACGCACATTTTTTTACCCGGATAAAAAAAACCCGGCTTCGTGTAAACGGGACCAGAGTATACACTAATTACATTAGTAGTAGTAATAATGATGATGGTGATGGTGATGATGATGATGGTGATGATGATGATGATGATGGTGGTGGTGATGGTGGTGATGATCATGATGATAATAATTAGTAAGAATAAGGCAATTTACTTCTTTGCAGCAATAAGAGGAAGATTTCCAGTTATCATATCTGATTCTGAATCAGCTGTCACTCCAGAGAAACACTATGCAACATGTTGTTCATTTGCAATAACAAACAGAAAAATGCGTTTAAAATATTGTCTGGAATGGGCCTTACCATTGTTTTAGAAATTAGGTACATAGAGAATATCACATGTTAAGAGCTTGATATCGTTTTTATTCACTCGTTTTCCATGTGATATCGCGAACGAGCGAGTCTGCGAGCGTCAAAATGTGCAGTTTCCAGTTTACCATGAAGTGATATCGAATCACTTCACTGATATGGTTTTTATTTACGGCTTTATCACACTGATATCGACCCTTAAAGTGGAATAAATCTATAAATGCTATGGGTGAAAATATTTGTATTCTAAATTTATAGTCCTTTGAATGAAAGCAATTAGGCACTCGTTTTAAATAAACAGGGTTCAATTTTCATCATCGATTTGTAAATCCTGTAACATTGCTATACTCCAGCATGTGACATTCAACTCTCCATTAAGTTTTTATCTGCATGTTTTCCCATTTTCTAGCTTTTGCTGTAGAGAAGGGGGGATTAGAAAATATTTACTCTCTGAAAGGGATGGGATTGACCAGATGAGCTTAGCTATGTTTCCCATTTTTTACCCAAGAAAGGTTTCAGTGAATTAATTATTTACACTCCTGAGCCATGCGTGGCCAAATGCGCACATAAATCTTCTTCCTTAATCAACCAGTTGTGTCAGAATTGATGAGGATTTGTAAGGGAAGATGTGTTGATTGACATACAGAACACTATCTATATAAATCCTAATAAAATATTTAACTATATTTATTGCCATTTTTTTAAAGTTGACATATTAGCTTTGACAAAACTGGTCAAATTCACAGGGAAGGTTCGTTGTGTGTGACCTGTTAGTGCAAGTAACCTTGTTAAAAGTCCAAATTTGCAACGGCAAAGGCTGCTAGGGCCTGTGCTCTTAGGTACATGTACAGCTGTGCCTGTAGTGTGTTCTATGCTTATTGTACAGTATGCTTTGAAAAATTGTGGGTAATATAAAGCAATTCTAAAATTCATCATGCAAAACCCCAACAAAATTTGATAAACTGCTGCCCGTGAAGAGTTGATAGTTAGTTAACATTTCCCTCTCAGATATTTTCCCGTCCTTGTTTTTATCTGAAACACTGATAAGATATGATGCCTCATTGGCTGCATGCTGTTCATGGCGAGGATCAAGATACGAGGCCAGCTCTTTACTATCTACAACATTATCATGGTTTTTATCCATCTGGGCAAACTCCTTTTTGCGACTGAAATTGGAAGACAGAAAAAGGACAATTAAAACATTATAGATTTGGCAATAATTAATATTGCATTATAGATTTGGCTATAATTAATATGGGAAGACTGCAGGCAAAGAACTTGCTACGAAAAGATATGAAGAATTAAGTTACAAACTATTGTACCAAATATTGATTCCAGTAATTCTGTTAGCAGTAAAGTACACACTTATCACCAGTATGAACTTAACAACGAGTTAGTAAGTTGTTTAGTTAGTTGTTATAAAAAGATATAAAGAATTGAGTTCCAAACTGTTGTGCCTGCTCATGTTGATTCTAGTAATAATGTTACCCGTTAAGGGCCCATTTATCACCAGGTAATTATACATTTCATAATGGGAAAGCCCCTTGATCAAAATATGCAAACAAGTTGCCCACTAATGTCCAAGCTTCCTTCTCACTCACTAGTCATTATGGTATAACAAAGCAAAAAACCTGATGTGTATGTAACACCTCATCCATACTGTTCCCACGTTTAGGGGGCGTAAAAAAACAAGCATGAGAATAAATTCATGATAGACAACAACTTCATCACTTTAATGCTGTGTGGGGTCCCTGTGTAGTTATCAAAGTGAAGGTTACTAGACTAATATAACAAGAAACCGGCCTTGTGTTTTGAAGATTGTGCTTGGATACCTGGGATGACAACTGGATGATGGGAGGCAGTGGGCTGCAGAACGTTAGTCCCTCCCTCTCTTTCTGGCACTTATTTTTCAATAGCAAGAAATAAGGCGTTGCAACAGCAAATTAACCTCCCTACCCCCACCCCCAACAAAATCCCTGCTTCACAGTTCCTGCGCATGCACTCATCGTGATGACGTCACTCAAATTTTTCCATAAGCAAAATATCAAGGAAACAACTTTTTTCACTTTAAACTCTTACAGTTCTGAAACAAACCATGTTTTCGTTGTTCGCGCATTTTTATCACAAAAAAGAATGAACTGCCACGCAATCTTATGGCTAAAAAAAGTCGGCGACCCTATTTTTAACTCTTTGTATAATACATGTCATCATGCAAAGATACAAAAATCTGGTGATGAAATGTTTTGCCCGTGAACATCCTAAATAGAGGTACCACTATATTCGGAGGCTGTTAGTCACGTCTGCAACATAAGTTGCCGCTCTACTCATCAAATCTACTCTGTTGACTGTTGATGTGGGTGAACATAATAAGACAGTTGTTGAAACATCCTCGACGCTCTCCTTTTTTGTCGTATATCCTTAGCCCTTTCAGTCAGTTGATAAATGAAAACCCTAGTCAAATAGAAATTGTCATCGGGTTTGTTTACATTGCGGTGTCGCTTCACATGTAATTAAGAAAAATACAGCATAAATTACAAAGTTTTGAATTTCTACGGGAAACAAAAATAAAGTCTCTTTCGGCAAATAAGGAAAAGGGAATGAGCTTTCCTATTGCGTTAATCGCTCAAACCTAATAAATCGTTTTGCCATTCCTAGAAAAGTGCATGAATTACAAGAATCAGACAATAAGAGAGTACTGAACAAGTGACAGTTTGATTAAAAGTTATTGAAATTTCATATATACTCAAGAGGAGAAACTGAAAACAGATTATGATGAAGCTTGTGAAAAAGGAAATCGCCCCATGGAAAAGAAGACAAGAAATGATATTAAAAAATCGAGTAAACAGTACCCTGCGAGTAGAGGCGTGACGAACTTAAAAGTTGAATGAAGTTTGAGTCAAACGTCCAAGTGAACCCAGATGTGAAATTAGGAGTTCTTCGCACAGTAAGCTTCCCACACTTCAAGATCATCCAATAATAAAAGACCACTGTTTGTCAGCTCTCCGTTGGCAAATATTAAACCTCCCTATTTTTATGTTTTAATTAATATATGAAAAAGGGTTCAAATCAGAAGGAGGTCGGCATTTGATGTCCAGAGGTAGGTCTGAATGCACTAATCTTGTACATATTACAAGAACTGACTGACATTTCAAAGGTTCTCGGTATTAACAGGTATTAATGATGGCACGTACGAGTTATTTCTAATCATGTTGTAAAATAATGAACATCATTTCATAGCTTTCTACAATACAACACCACAGGAACCAAGTAACGAGGTCCGTAGCACAAGACACAACGTAGCTTTCATTTAGTTTCTGTCAATTCAATTTTGATATTAGGTCGTAAAGTTAGACAACAGCAACAACAACAGAAAAGAAAGTATTCCCCTCTTCATGTAAATATAGTTTTACAAGTTTCACTACCATATTTTTTTAGACGGGGAAGCAAAAAAATCGTGGAAAACCCGAGACATTTTGAAGTACGTCCTGGTAGAAATAGATGAACATTTGAAGGAAAGCTACGTTGCAATGAGTGAAACCAAATGGAATCAGACTTTGGAGGTGGCATGCAATAGAGATTACTGTACTCAATGTCCGACGCTCATGGCATGTTTGTACACCATTGTTGGAGTGTTCTGCATGATAGGTAATGGAATGGTGCTTTATGCAATTTACAAAACGCCTTATTTGCAAACAGTTTCAAACTACTTCATAGCATCATTGGCCGTTGCTGACTTCTCGGTGGGAGTGTTAGTCAACCCATTTTGGGCCGCAAGAAGTGCTCTTTCTGTCTGGCATAACCAACACCCTTTGACTGTTATCACAGCCTATATGTCCATGCAGACCGCGGTTACTACCACGTTTAATCTATGCGCTGTCTCAATCGACCGTTATGTTGCCATCACACGACCTTTACACTATGAAAGAATCCTTACGCGACGACGTTGTAAAATAATTATTGCTATCATTTGGATACTATCCTTTGTTTTGCCGATTCCTCGTCCTCTTGTTACTGATCCTTCCAAAGTGTCGAAAATATGGATGACTGGCAGTACTTTAGTCATTCTTCTACCGTTGATAATCATAACCTACTGTTACTACCATATCGTACGCGAGGTTAAACGACATATTTCATCCATTGCTTCGATAAATAAATGGGTTTCTAGCCTTAACGATGGCGTGGTTACCAGAAAACGAAATACCAAAGCTGCTTGGACTGTTGCCATAGTGATTGGGGTGTTCCTCGTTTTATGGTTTCCAAGTCTGATTCTAACTTTATTGTTGGCGTTAAATAAGAAGGTTTGTGATGAAGAGAAGTTGACTCGCGTGTGGTCGTTCACTGTGTTGGTTGCTTTTTTCAGCTCCGCTGTTAATCCCTTGGTATACACAGCTAGGAACCAGGAATACAGGAACGCCTTTCGATCGATTTTTTTCAACAGAGGAACAAAACATGATTCCACAGTTGCTGTAATAAGTAATAGTATGACTATAAATGAAAGAACATTTTAATTAGATCTTTGAAATAATTATATGGCTTGGAACACGTACTTTTAAATCTAGCTAAAAAATAAAGGAAACACATTAACTGGATCAGTTTCAATTTGGCTTTAAAGTACCTATCATGCCTACAGGATACCTTCATGATTTCAAAGCCTTATAGAATAATAATGGCCTTTACTTTCTCTTTGATATCTCTTTTCGTTGCCGAGATATTCAATACAGAAATCACGATATGATAACGTCAACCCAATACCTTGTAAAAGTATATCTCTGTGAGAATTAGCTTAAAATGTTGGTTACAGTAGTGCGCTATGACCACCATTAGCTACAGTCAAAAATTTGTTTCAATTTTTTGTGTTTTTTCTTTTGAGAATAAAATAAAGTATATCTACTTTTTCTATATGACAACTATACCAAATCTGGTACAAATCTGGGGTCAAAAAAATCAAAAAAGGCCTTCTTGATGTCAAAATTTTGCTTCTCTCAGCGTGAACGAATTAGCCAATCAGCAAACATTTTGTTCGTAGAACAATATTTCCTAGTTCCAGGTTTTTGGCTCAATACAAAAACAGATTTAACTCGAAAATAAAGAAGATAAAACTAATCCGTAGAAAGATTCACCAGATATCTTTTAGAAATAGCATAGTTCGTTGTAGATGGAAAATATTTCATTTTGTCAAGAGACAATAGAAAATACTTCGTTGTGACAAGCAATGCATCGCGCGCCTAGATTCCTAATCTCCCTGGCCCTGTTGCAGAAGGGTTTGATAGTGCTGTTATTCAATACATTTATTTACTGGATAAGATTTATCCTTCAGATACCGCCGTTCATTCTAATAACAAAGGTAAACGGTCGGATATCTGAAATCTGAGAACTTAGTTTTATATTTGAATATGAAGCATGAACCTTTGAATAGAAATGTGATTTTTCGTATTTACCTTATTACATGAAATTTTCGAGAAACTTGAATTTCGCGATTTTTAAAAAATCGCGAAACTAAAGTGACGCGAAAATAATAATTGACACGAAAATTAAGTGGCCACCCATAATGCATATTTGAATTAATTTCAAATTTAATAAATAAACATGAAAAAACACGAACTATTTCTCGTTGTTGTTGTTACTGTTACTCAACCGAACAGTGTGCCATGACAAAGTGGCAAATGTCATTTCAAAATGGAACTTCCAAAGAAGGAAATGATTAAGAGATTTAGAAAGTTTCCGAAAGCGTTTCTTGTCTTATCCAATCAGAACAAGCAATTTTGATGGAATGTTTCTGAAACTGATTCTGAGCATGACCAGCTACAGAGAAGCAGTTTCCTCTCTGAGATAATGATCTGTCATCTCACATTTGATATTTGTCCTTGACTGATAAAAAACATCTGTAAATTTTATACTTGGATAATGTTCAGAGAGAAAACTTGGAAAGATTAAAGATATTTTGTGAAGTAATACTGCATAAGCCATCATACCATCATTTGCAGTGATATTATTGCATTATTATTTGTTTTATTTTGGAAAACATCAAAGTGAGAAGACATTTTCGTTTGGCTTATTTCCTAAACATGCTGACCTAGATCACATTTATCCAGGTTTTATCAGTCCTGGTTTTATCAGTCCTGGTTTTATCAGTCCTGGTTTTGTCAGCCCAGGTTTTATCAGTCCTGGTTTTATCAGTCCTGG